GGCGACGTCTTGCTGGATGAGACTCTCCGACACATCAAGGCCACGGAGTCTGCGGAAACAGTGCAGACCTGGATAGAGCTGCTCACGGGTAGGGCCAGTTAGAGACGCCATCTCCTCAGCCCCTCTTGGGGCCCATCCCTGCCGCCTGCCCCCTCTCCTTCGGCTTGGCCATCCCCTCGCTTCTCTGGACTTTGGCAGAATACTGCCAGCAGAACAGGGGAAAGCTGAATGTGGGGGCAGGGAACAGTTTTCCGGGTCTTTTTTGTTGGGAGCTCGGTGAAAGACTTGCTCCCTATTGCCTCTTTTTTCATGATGAGTCTTCACTGAGTCTGGGATCCAAGTTCTTGGGTAGAAGAGGCTTTCCAAAGGGATCTGCCCCAGGCTGCTGTGGCCGCTGGGAGCTTTGCCAGCTTGGCCTGATGGGAGAAGCGGGTCAGAGTCAGGCCAAGAGGAGGAAAGAGGGTTCCTGCGGCAGGGACTGGTGTCCATGCAAGCACAGAAGTCCCTGGGCTGGAAGCAGCCTGGGCGCTGGGGTTGGGTGGCAAAGCCATCGCTGCCCCGGCATTGAACGGGGTCTCCTCTCCTGCAGGGGAGACCTGGAACCCCTTCAAGCTGCAGTACCAGCTGAAGAACGTGCGTGAGCGCATCGCCAAGGCGCTGGTGGAGAAGGGCATCCTCACCACGGAGAAGCAGAACTTCCTGCTCTTCGACATGACCACCCACCCCATCAGCAACGCCACCGAGAAGCAGCGCTTGGTGAAGAAGCTCCAGGAGAGCATGCTAGAGCGGTGGGTGAATGACCCCCACCGCATGGACCGCAGGACTCTGGCTCTCCTGGTGCTGGCCCATTCCTCAGACGTGCTGGAGAACGTTTTCGCCAGCCTGGCAGACGACAAGTACGATGTGGCAATGAACAGGACCAAGGACCTCCTCGATATGGACCCCGAGGTGGAAGCAGCCAAAGCCAGGGGCGCAGAGATGATCTGGGCCGTCCTGGCAGCCTTCAATAAGTCCTAAAAAGCCCCCAAACCAGGTTGGGGAGCCTCACCTCCTCGATGCGAGGCCAGGGGTGTTGGGCACGGAGTTCCTGCAGCAGCGGGTGGGCTCAGCTCGGGGAGACCGGCGGGGTTTCGCTCTCCCCCCTGGGCAAGGGTGGGAGGGCGAGAGCCCACCCCCGTGGGTAGGTCGCCCCCTCCTCCAACCGGCGCCTCCGGGGAGAGGTAGCGGCGGTTCTTCGCTTCCCTTTCAGTGCTCCTTGCCCGTGGGCTTCCTTCTCGGGCCAGTGCAGCGCTAGGCGGTGGCAGAGCCCAGCCCTGCGTGCAGGTCCCAAGCTGCTCAGACGGGCCGAACCCCGGCAGAAACAGGGCTGCGGAGCAGCCTGCGCTCCCTGCGCGCTCCCGGTGTGCTGGCTTGTCCGGCC